TTAGCAGTGCTCGAGGCTAGGCCTTATCTGGACCCTATACTGAGTGAGGAGGTTATGTAGAGGAAAATACTTCTTAGCCTGAAGCTATTTCTACCACCCGAAATGAACAGCTTTTTGGTAGAACTTGGCCATTTAAGAAACCGGATGGGCGCTAGGACGCTTCTTCTTAGTCAGGGTACAGTAGTGTGTTTTGAAAGCCTTAAACTGTGCCAGATCGTTGCGTCTCCAAGCAGTGTTAATTACTAGGATATCTTGTGGCCAGAGAGGAAGTCACCCACCCATCTGCAAAGCTTCTCTGGGAGGCCATACGATGGAGGGCAGCATGCCAGAGCTGATCGAACGCTTCCGTGATATCATGAGGAACGACCTGAGCTTCACAATGAGACTGTGTGAGCTTACTCCACAGTTACGTGACGTAAGCTAGGAGGTCTCCCGTGGATTGCTGGTACCGGAAACCATACTGCCTGTCGCTAATCAAGCTGTGACGTTTTAGGTACTCCAGAAGCTCCTGATTTGTTTTCATCACCTTACTTATAACAGAAAGCAGAGCTATATGCCTGTAGTTGTATGGGAGCTGACCATATTATACTTTTAGATAAATTGGATAGATATGGAATCAGAGGTTATCTGAGCATCAGAAAACATAATGTTGAAGTACTGACTGCACAGTCTGACCAGCATACAGGTGGTCCATAGGTTTCCATACTTGGCCTCTCCTATATATGAGATATGACTTGTATGACTAAGTATGCTGACGATACCTCCTTGTTAATGGTAAACGTTTGGAGTCGGTGGTAAGAAATGTCAACGCAAGCTTAGCTGGTGCAGAGCAATGGTTCAATAATAACGACCTGGTCTCAAATCACAAAAAGACAGTGTTCCTTAGATTTAAATACTCTAATGTGCACATGGACCGTGGCCTCCTTATAGAATCGAGCATTATTTAGATAGAACAAGCAGAAACCACATTATTTAAAAAAAGAATCAGGAAAATTTTACTGGATATAACAATTTCTTCTATAGAAGAATGTTTAATTTGTGATAGTCTTTTTTAATAGTTTTAATGTATTGTTTAATTTCAAATAGTTGATAAATTGTCATTTTAATTCATTTTCATGCTTATAAACCTCGTGTTTTTTATTTTATATTGGAATATCATTTATGTATGTATGCAATTCTTTGCATACAAATATTCCATTGTGAATTATGCTATATCACCAGGATGAATAAATTATTTTTATTACTACGAGCAAATTTCCAGTTTTTTGGATTCGCAAGACATCTGCAAGAGACGCGAAAGAACTGGATCAAGATCCTATGCGCATCTTTTCAGTACAACAGTAGGAATCAAGGTCAGACCATAAGGTTTGTGTCATTGGGCATTATTGGATCCATTACTAGAAAAACGCCTTCTAACTGGTCGAATTTGCTCCTTGGAGTAAATTCTGATCTCTATGGGTTACTAGTAAGAGCGGACACAAGAATCACTCCCTATTTACATCTCTCATTATCTCTGAATAGCTAAATGATGTCCGTCGGCATAGGTAGAACCAGAACGCGTTCGTTAGAGACAAACCGTTAGTGTTTCCTATGATATATTGGAAATATATGCATACCACATCCAACAGCAGATAGATATGTATATGTCTGTGTTAATGTACCGTGTTACAGTTGATAAAATTAAGGTCAGGGCACTTTAAAATAATTATGACACGTCGATTAATTTTCTGGTTGGATAGGAGGCAGGGAGCGTGTGTGTGTGTGTGACAATCGATCTAATAGGGAAGGGCACTAAATTAAACGTGTTATTTATCACACATGCCCACCAATGGGCGGTTTTTATTATGGGTGATATATGAGCTGCATCGGATATTAGCGCACTATTGATTGTTGAAATGTTCGAAAAGTCGTTACCAGTTTAAACTTTGTCTAGACGAATAGATTTTTATTTTGAAACTATTTAGATTGATGTGCTTAAATAGTAACTAGAGCTGCTTGAGGATAAACTGCTACGATTATTTGTATGTTCAAGCAAGGACTGCGAAATGTCACAAGGTTAATGCTGTCTGGACTCGCACCAGCGCAGTTTACCGTTTCTAAATGATACTCCTGCACCTTAATCAGTAAGAAGCACCAAAAGCTGGGTTATCTGTTCAGAGCTATGAAGTGCTTGGCACCATTGCACCAGCTAACCTACTCACTGTCTATAAGACGCGGTCAGGCATGCTGTTCGCCTGATCGATAGCATTTCCTTCACTAACAGTTTGTCAAAACGTGGAGTTTAAGACCCTAAGTTACTATATGGATATACACTATCACTACTAGATCTATGGTTGCCTATGGAGTTGTGGCGTGGGTCACTAAATGTCATCAGGTAACCACAAAGCTACAGCTAAGCTAGGTGCAGCGGGCTGCACGCCTTAGCGTAACTGGTGCTATGCGAACAACACCAGCGAGAACAATTAAAGAGTTGCTAAACTTGCCACCACTAGGAACTTATATGGTACAAGTTTCTTTGGCAACAATGGTATGGTTAAATTCTTTGATACATAGCCTATACTATTACAGCAGCTTCTCAAAACCAGATCGGGGATGGTGTTATTAACATTGACGGATCTAAAAAGGATAACGGGTCTGGCTGCGGAGCATACTCTAGTAGCCTCCGCAACAACTTCAAGTGAAATATGGACAACCATGCACGCAGATCAAGTTAGCTGCAATAAAAAGAAATTGCATACATAAACGTCACAGGTAAAGAAATAGGATCTACATGGACAGCAGGCAAGCAACATTGACATTCAAGTTTTGTAAGCTTACAACGAGAACAGCACTTGACTGCCTCTTGGCTCTTGTGAGTGTCTCCATCACTAATAACATAAATGTTGCTTGGGTGAAGGGCCATTCACAATTAGAGGGTAATATTGCAGCCAATAGACTGACACCAGAACTGTGTGCCGAGTGCCCCTCTGTATTCTACCCATCGGTGTCATGACAGCCAGGCTAAAAGAGCATATCTACAACATCTTCATGAACATGTAAGATGATATTTTGGGTTGCTCATTCGCTATGGAGTTGCTCGTGAGGAAGTAGTAAAAACTACCTGTCTATGTCAACAACTTCGATTAGCAATTGGCATTGCAATTAGACACAGTCGCCTAAGGAAGCATATGAAATATGTATATATGAGACAGTCAGTCACTTGATTTCGACTGCGCAGTTGTCCTATAAATACAGAGAATACATTCTGGAAACCCTCATAGGAAAGGAAAACTCCGCTGGGTCGCATCACCACCTTTTCTAATAGTCTAGGGTGGCAAACGATTCAGATCTGAGCAACCCTAGAGAGGACGTACAATGGGCCCAATGGGGCCTAAGTGCTGTGATTTTGGTTAATTGACCTTCCTCCTATGCAGAATACAGAATAAAAAATTGTTTCGCTCATCGGCACTCGCCTTCAAGATGATACCGCATTCTGCGAGGCAGACACACTTTATTCTTCTCGTTGTAACTCGATCGAACTCTGTAAAACGAAAACTGAACAATATTTGTTTCTGAGGTACCCAGAATATTGAACAAACTCAGCAGTTGCTGTAGAATATAAAAAAGGCAGAATAATTTTCATTCATCACGTTGCGACCAGGTTTATCTTTTATCATTGGAATGGTTTACGTTATGGAAACATTGTATAAGTGCTAGTTAATATAAAATTACATACAGTACTTTACACAGCTTTAAGTAGTACAAATGAAAGCACTGACTAGATGACGCCTGCCTAGTAATAAGAAATTAGAAAAAAATACAATAGTATTTGATATTAAGACTTCAAGCACATACGAGTACACAAAAAACACTTATTTATGAAGAAGATGATTTTTCAAATAATATTTCAGCCTATTTAAATACAATGGCTTTATGATTTCTGGAATCGAGTTGTACAGTGTAACTACGTTAAATGTGAAAGATCGGTTAAATAAAGCTGTTGGTGATTGATTTCACCTGCAAGTTGATCTCCTATACTCCAATTTTCCAAATTACACAGATTAGGGAGCTGGTAAAACCTATGATATATCAATATTTGGAAAAAATGAAATTTCTTTTTATTTACGAACTACACTTATGTTACACCGAGATAAAATGAATTGTGATAGCATTGTTAGCTTCAAATGAGTGAGCTGGTAGAACGTCTCATTATCCAATGGCAAGAGTAGAGCTCTAGTCAAGCTGCGTCGATTAAGTAGATATCAGTTGTATTAAAAAACTGTATTTGTTTAGTTGAAATGTATTGGATTTATAGGTAGGAAATCTAAACTGTCATTGGACAACAAGCTGTAACTCTACAAGGTTCTGTTAAAACCAATTTGGACGTAAGGTGTCTAGTTATGGGGCACAGTGAACAACAGCAGTATTGCTTTAGTTCAGCGATTCCAGCACAAGATTCGGAGAATTAATGATCGTCGGCTCACCAAGTTTTGTCCCCATGTCATGATTAAGTGTGACATCCATCTCCCTACCATCAAGGAATTCAGTATTAGATCAGTGATCAGGCTGAAACAACCCTAATGTGTCAACAAACCGATGGATCGCATCTAATAATGAACAAAATAAGACATCATTATTAATTTGCTGCCTGACATGGTGACAGGAGCTCAATAATCTTAAGTAATAACATAAGCATCTAACTAATAGAATTATATAAAAAATGTTTTGTTACTAAGGTCTATGAAACATGACGTCAAGAGATTTAGCAGTAATGTCATACTCATAGAGGCACGGGTATAAAGAATTGCCGAGGATATAAATCTTAGTTCAACGTTTTCAATACATTGGTGCACATATTATATTCCTGTCCTAGCCTTATTCTGCATTTGGCATTCAGATTAATAAGAAAGGGTGGCAAATAAAATGCCTGTAAGTTATTTATGACCTGCCTAGTACCACAGCTGTGATTTATTTGCAAATCTAGGTATTTATGTGCATGCATACAATTTAAAATATTCATTGAACTATTTATTTCTCAGGGGTGTTGAATACAGATAAATTTTCACTGTTTATTCAAATTTATTCTTCACTTCTCACGCACAAGCGAGAGGCGGTGTGTTATCTCTGAGGCTTTATTTTCTACGCCAAACGTGAGCTGGTGTTAATGAAGTTCCTGGCTAAATTTCAAACGCTTCATTTTCAGGGCACCGGCAATGAAACCTAAAACCCCCAAAAGAACAACTTAGTAGATTTCAAACAGGCGATGGCAATCACAAAGGCGAATTCAACAGTTTTTCATTTATGATTCCATTGAAATTACGTCTCGACATGCAATTCGGATTCTCGTAGCATATCCGAACCTATGAGGGTTTCCTTTCAGAATCACACAAGGAATCATAATTTTAAGTTCAGCTAGGTATTTTATCAACACTCTGTATATTGTCTTGTACTATTTGATTACTTTGAAAAAGAAATAGTATGTCTTTGCAAGTCAATGAAACAAAAACAAAGCTAAAGCAAGCTACTCTCGGGGAATGATTTTCACATCTTCACCAAATTTTCACGTTAGCTTATACAGCTTTTGTATGGACCGATGACGATAAAGGATTCAAAAATCTGATCTTAATTATTATATTACTAATGAAATTATTTGATGTAAATGATGTTTATATCTTCACCTTTACTATACAGCTTCACAAATTTGATCCTCAGCTAGTGCCATATGCTTTACTGTGGAATGAAATGTTCTGAAAACATCCTTTGCAGAACATTCATCGTTTTCCTATCTGTATTGTTACGAGTATGCAGTTGCTCCGTTCTGCTGGAACCAGATTTCACACATATTGATTGATGAAAAATTAAAAACATTTAATTTACACCCTCACTGATTAATCATTTAAACGAAAATATGTGAAATTATATATATGTATATATATATACAGGGTGACTTCGAAGTTGAGTCATTTATTTTAACAGTGAGTAGATCTGATCAAAAGAAATGTTTTTTTCCTTTAACATTTTTCTGGTAAAATCAGGGTGACTTCGAAGTTGAGTCATTTATTTTAACAGTGAGTAGATCTGATCAAAAGAAATGTTTTTTTCCTTTAACATTTTTCTGGTAAAATTAAAGTAACAAAGTTATAGCCCTTTAGAAGTTTGACTACCGCCCTGTCTCAATAATAATATGTGCTCGTGTTTGGCAACAACGGATATAACCCGCCTTATCGGTTCATCGCATCGGAAACAAAAAAGCGAAAGAATTTGAAACGTTTCTCACGATGTTTTATTCAGTTGTATTCAGTCAATGTGTCAGTCGGTACGCGTGAGTGAATAGTGGTGTTTGTTGCGCGCTCAAACGAAATAAAAAATGGCACATGTTTACGAAAATGCTGAACTTGTGGACATGATTCTTATTTACGGGGGGGGAGTCTTTACAAAATGCTGCCGCGGCATCACGGATTTATGCGGATCGGTCTCCCAATCGAGTGCAACCAACCCCTCGTGCCTTTGTTAATGTAGTACAAAGGGCTCGTGAATCAGGTGACTTAAGACATCACAGGGGAGGGCATGCCTGTGCTCCAAGACCGCACGATCAAATACAGGTCCGCACTAAAATACTTGTCGGGAGGATACTTTATAAAACAAAGTAACTTTTTTTTTAATTTTTTTTTTATTTTTACACACATATTTTGGTTTATCTTCCTTCTACAATCATTATCTGAAAATTAATGACTCAACTTCAAAGTCACCCTGTATATATATATATATATATATATATATATATATATATATATATATATATGTATAATAGGAAACTAATGGGCAAAATCCGCAAAAAGAAGGAAAGTGGATTCTAACAGAAAATAGCATAGGTAACCCGAGCGGTACGTATTTCTGCTGGTTGGCTTCATCAGGACCGAAACGAATGTACGTATGCAACTACAAAGCTCACACATCCGGATCTGTGTAACCTGAGGAAACGAAGATAGATAGGGAAGAAAATCACGCACGAAATTGTAGTATAAAATGGATTTCCCTCTCAATCTTCGTTTCCTCAGTTTACACCCGTTTCCGGATGTGTGGGCATGTATATCTACTTTTGTAGTTGCATATGTGCATTCATTTCGGGCCTGATGAAGCCAACCAGCAGAAATACGTATCGGTCGGGTTACCTATCCTATTTTCTGCTCGAATCCACTTTCCTTTTTGCGGATTTTGCCCATTATTTTTTTTCCAATTTTTGTTATATACCTTTCTCCGCATGATCATTTTCTGTTTATATATATATATATACCTACAGTTACTTATTTTAGTTAAAGATTCGTTACATGAGATAAAAAAAAATAAAATACATTTTTAGTTTTTAATAAAACGTAGATTTATTTTAAGATTCGTTACTTAGTTATAATTTTAGAGAGGATGAATAGAATAATAGAAAAAAACCGCCAAACGGATAACTGATACAATAAGATCAAATTATCGAGGAGATGAAAATGTAATAATTAGAGATTATAAACATATACTAAGTGACATATAAATCCGAACACCCAGTTTAAATGGTTTTATTTTAATAAAATTTTGTATAAGTACTTAATGAAGCATAATAAGTAAATGATAAAAATTTCCAAATGATTGCACTGCTTTAAAGCCCTTTGACCTTTAATAATGTGTGGATGCACCCTGATGTGCTACGCATTCTCCAACGCGCCTAGGCATGCTTCTGATCAGGTGGTCAATGTCCTCCTGTGGTATCTCATTCCAGGCAACCACCAACTCCTCTCGAAGTGCTTCTAGAGTCTGAGAAGGACGTTGAAAATTGAGCAATCTCCTACCCATCATATCCCACACGTGCTCAGTTGGGGATAAGTCGGGAGATCTTGGTGGCCATGGTAACAATGTGACATCATTATGTTGAAAGAAGTCTATTGTGACTCTTGCAACATGTGGTCGGGCATTATCTTGTTGGAAAGTTGAATCTACCAGGGTGTCAAGATAGGGTAAAAGATGGGGTTCTAGAACTTCGTGGATATAACGCTGCGCGTTCATGTTACCTCTGATGAAGATTAAAGGTGACCTGGAACCATAAGCTATAGCACCCCAAACCATAACTCCAACTGTGTGTTGAACATGTCTTTCAACAAAAAACTGTGGATTCCTCCTTTCACCACGTCGTCTTCTAACCCTGGCACGACCATCGTGCATGCCTAAACAAAATCGAGACTCGTCACTAAAGACAATACTGTTCCATTCCTGATCCCAGAGTGACCGTTGTCTGCACCACTCAAGGCGATTACGTCGGTGTTCTCGAGTTAAAGGGAGGACCCAGTGTGGCCGGTATGAAAACAAGCCAAAACTTCTCATTCGTCGGTAAACACTTCGCATGCCAATAGGTCTTCCGTGTTCTGCAAACCATTCATTTGCAATGGACCTGGTAGTGGAGAAACGGTCCCTTAAGGCCAATAATCTTAGGCGGCGATCTTCACGGTCTATTGTTCTACGGCGGCGTCCAGTGCTCCTTGCTCTTTGCATACGGCCTTCTCGAAGCCATGCCTGACAACACCTAACCACAGTGTCTACACTTCTTTGCACTCTAACTGCAATTGCCGAAAAGAAAGTCCAGCTTCCCGAAGTCCCACTATACGGCCCCTATCAAACTCACTAAGTTGACGAAATCGTACAGGTCTCCGTACTCTAGGCATCGTAACCGATCGTAAAGGATGTCAAGTACCAAAATCCGCCAACGTTGATTCTTTACTGCGGCTGAAATATTCATTTTCAGAGCGTTAGTGAATTAAAAAAAAGCAGTATAAAAACCGGAATGTCCAACTGATAAGGCTAAACATTTTTTCACTTGTTATTTACAGTAAGATAAAGACATTCACCAACTTTTATTAAAATAAAACCATTTAAACTGGGGAGACCTGTTTAGCTTCATTTTTAAATCAAGCATTGATATCATAACGGGTACTCAAGATTGTGCACTAAACTTGTTCATATATACTCTGACACTATCCTTTTTTTTATTACAAGATTGTAGTATTACCATAAGTATGTGTGAAACACATCTTGGAACTCAATTTTGAACCAGTTAACCATTGAGCTGAAACTTTGTACTCTTGTTCGGTTCGCGTGATCATATAAAATAAATTTACTGCCATTTTGAATCTAATATAGCTGACGCTACAAAAGGCATTTCCTCAGTAACCCGTATGATATGTGTATCAAATGAAGGAGCTTGATGTGACATAATAAACAAGGTGACGTCATTCTAAATGCAATATGGCGGCCATCGCAAAATGGCAATTTACATTTGACAGTCACCCTTATGACATGGATATCAAATGAAAGGGCAGGATAAGAGAAACACAATAAGAATATAACGTCTTTTTAAATTCCATATGGCGACCGCCGGAAAATATCGACTTATCGTTATATGATTTAAATCTATCAAAATTTTATAATACAAATAAAGTGGGAAGTTTTATGGCGTCGTATTAATGAAATATATGGAAATTATATGTAAATTACGGAACTAGTTATTTGATACCATAAACAGTAAAAAATACATTTATAAAAACAAGCAACTAAGAATTTAAAAATAGTTTTTTCAGATTGGAAATAATTGAATGAAGCGCCTTCATTTCAAGTTTTCAAATAGAGGCATGTTACGTTTTGACAGAAGGATGGAAAAAGCTTATTCTAGAAAACTTGAGATAAAGGAGCTTTATTATCGTTTAAATATTTTCAATCTCAAAAAAATATTTCCTAAATGTTTAGTTCACTTTAATTATTTAGTGTGCTAAATTCAGCACAAAATTTCCTATCGGTACGTAGTCGTAAATGTGATATTGACAGACAAGCGTGTTGATGGCTGTGGTGTCAATACTGGTAGACTATGAATACTGGATCAATATTACTGATCGCTTATGCGCCATTGTGGAGTTATACGCTGCCTGTACAATTAACAAAACAGCGAAAAGTAGAGAATTGAGGAGGGAAACGATGGAACGGGAAGAGGAGGATGCTTTTTAATGCTAATGGCGTATCCGAGATATATATCCTGGTTGCGCCCGCCGTTGCCGTTGAGGTTGAGATAGTAATTGAATGATGTCTGCGGTTACACTAATGGCATAAAAGCCGAGGTTTATAGGGAAACTTTACGTTCCAGAGAACGCCACGCTGTTCCGTCGTGCGCCATGCTGGCCCGCCGAGACTGAAAA